CCCCCCCCCACGTTAAAGTTATCTACTTTGACCCCGGACTCCTACCACCATTCGCCTTGCACCTAAAACGGGCGAAAGATTCCAACACGATTGTCTACATGTTTCAAACGCCGTCCAAAATCTTGTCAACAGAGGGGGCTTACACAATCGTACCAATAACGGGTAATTCGCGCTTTCTACGTCGTAGGTATCTCCACGACCCATAAATGACTAGCTTAACGATCAAAACATTTCTGTTCAAACAGACTGAATGCATTCGCATGTTTATCTGGTGACTGACTGGGGAATTTCTGTTGTGTCCATGCCTTTTTTGTGTCCCAAAACCTCGTTCACGGTCTTGTTTATGAAACCAACTTGTGTCATGGTTTTCCTTCCCCATATCGAATCATTGCACACAATAGCAGAGCCCATTTTGAGTCATAAAAAAATGCACTGGACATCGGAACCGGTTGTACCGCCAGTCACCTATTCAAAACACAGGTAAGTCTCGAAACGAGAATCTAAAAGGTATGACAATTTTATTACTATTTCTTAAACTATCTTTTGTCTCTGCCCGTAAAAATTGAGCCAAATGGAAGACCTCTATCAGATTTAATTCCTTTTTTGCTGTTGAAATTTATGGTTGGTTGGGTGTCCAAAAAAAGTATCAAGTTTTATCTCTTTGTTCCCGATGACAATACACGGCTTGAGATTGATCACCGCAATTTATCCCCACCCAGCGCCACTGCACTCACCTCAAACAGGGCCATTTTCCGATTCAGCGTGGAGCCCTCAAGTGTCCAAAATGCGAGCATATTTTTTCCGCACAGTACAATCGTAGACTCGTCCAAGGGGTGAAAATCGGCCGCGACAACCGGATCCCCGGAACACTGAGGTTAGGGTCAGGGTAATTAGATACGATAAGTTGGAATGAGAGAGAGAGAGAGGAACAGGAAACACCGAATGCGATCCCCAACAGCTTGTAACACTCAACGATCTCGGACTAATGTAAGCTGCAAAAAACATACTTTGCAAAGTGCTTCACACAGAGAACAATCAAGGTGCGCGGTTAGGTTCCTAAACGAGAACCCGCTGTTATAAAGTGTGATCATGAAGATTGCTGCAATAATAGAGGAAGCCTGATGCGGACAGTTCAAACTAGGTCGCTGGTATTGTGCTTTCAGAGAACGGTTGAACAAAAGTCACTGCTTTTCGTTTTAAAATTTTCACGATTGAAAAAAGGTAATATTGACTAAGAAATCCAGCAATTCACATTTATGATTCAATATTTACTAACTTAAAAATAATTCCAGCATGCGATAATACAACTCCGATTATCCAGTGAAACTCCGATTGATAGCATATCATTTTCGTTAGTTGTGAACGGAGTACTTTGCGAAAAAATGGGCGAAATGCTACGAGCAATTAGCACTGCGCGGAACTGGAGTTGGCGGACAGAGAGATAGAACGACAATCGTAGGACACATGTGATCGCACAAAATTGATTCGCTCGGGACAGGAAAAGTGGGTAGGCCAAAGTAGACGGGTGACATGCTAGCTACGCTTACCACAGATTCACTTTGCTACATTTCGAAGGGAGGGTGATGAGATTGTTAGCAAGTCTCGATGCGGCGCAGCAGCAATGATGTACATAACGGTCAAATACAGTTTTGTACCGGTATACTGTGACACAGGAACCCGAAAATAAATCGGGCAGCACGAATTACTACAACATATAATTATTATTATAATTTGAGACACAGCGCGCCAGATCCCAAGATGAAGGAATAAAATATTGTTCGTATCAAAAGTGGTTGTTCAAAGGGGTCAATATAGTTCACAGTTTTAGAAACACCTAACACAAGTGTCCAAAAAGGAAATTTGGCAATAAAAATATCAATACGATGGAACGAAGAAGGGAAAATCCAGAGTTAGAAGAACTTGTTGTTCAGTTACATAAGTCGGCAGTTTAACCCCTAGGGATTGAGAATAAAGGTCTACAAGAAACCTCAATGAACCGAACGTGTGCGAAAATGCCTATCCTGAGTAATTATATCAGCAATTACAAAATATCCCCATCAGCTTCGTGAAAATACAGTTCAATTCAGTTTGGTTTTTACAACCAGTAACCATGCAATTTAGTGCTTCGGTTTCGGTTACTGTCTTTTGACCGCCTGTTTGGATGAAAGAACAGAGGAAAGATTGAGATATTCTTAAGCAGTGGCAAGTTAATATAGAGTTTTGGTGATAGGACGCACGAGCACCACAACTATATCACTGTGTGTCCCTAACCGAGGTTTATACCGATCCCAAGGTCAAATTCGAAGGCTTTGCGCGACAGGTTGCTAGAAGTTTCCAAACAGATGCTTCAGTCAAGCCCCTGTGTTCGATCTAAGCCCTACTGCCTTGTCAGTGATCCAGCGACATTATTTACTGTTCCCAAAGGAACACCCATTCCTCAAGGTGGGGTGACGCGAACCATTTAGTGCTCCAAAGCCCTAGGCACCCAGTTGCAAAACCCTCTTTTTCATCTGTGAAACGACAGACGGCGAGTTAGTCGACTCGAGCTGAGACAACTTGCATTTGGTAGTTCCTTCAAATCAGAAGATCAGCGGCCCAATTTGACGGTCGCTTTAACATTTCAAAGGATCCCAATCAGCCCTTTGGATTGTGGGCGTAAGACGACAACGATCTACTTGTATTTCTTTTTTTTAATTCTATGAACGCATATTCGGTCTTCTGATGATTCTGCTATACACACAAATTATATATATGTACGTGTATGTGTATGTGATCCGCTGGGGTTATTTGGGTGTGGATACATGTGTGGAACGGGAAGCTTTTCACGAGACAGGGAGATGCTGTATTTACGGATAGTATGTCATTTTCGTGGAGAAACTGTACGATTCATGCTATCGCCCACGAGCGGACTGAGCTTTGAATGAAATGAAATGAACGGGTTAATTTGATGTATTCCAATAGGAAGGAAATCACGTGCTTTTCAACCTATCTATGCAACTCATAAGTGGAGTCAGCAAATGGATGGCACAATTTAAAAGAAAGCAGAATCTTGAACTTTGGAAAGAAAATCCAAGATTTATTTCCATCCGATTTCTATGAATTCCACATTTTGTTGGAAACAGCTGTTATAAATTGGAGAAAAACAAGGGAAAGAAAGGAAAGAGGCGCTCGATCGTTACACTTAAAAAAAGTCACACAAAAACGCCCGGCAGACTATAGGAAGACATACACACACTATGTGGGAGGTAGTGGGTTGAATGCAGCCAGAGTAAGCTGAAGTGAAATATGTATAAACCAAAAGCACAACACCTACTTTAGTATCCGTGATTTTGCGAGCTTTTTGCCATTCCCACACAGAGAGTACATGATCTTGGGCATCATCGACGACGCAAAGACGCGCACCACCATCCTAGAGTTTCCCACGCGGAGTTGGATCGTCAACGAGAGGGGAAGAATAAGTTGGTTGAAAAAAGCACGAAAAAACACCAATGCGAATATCTATTCCGACAATGTCACACAATGTATTCTATAGAATGCAACAAACTGCAATGAAATCAGTGTATGCACGGCGCAAACAGTTATCCATATAAACATTACAAAATAATACCCATTACATGGGGGATTTCGATTGTTTAACCATGTGAACAGATGATATAGAACTTTCTGAGTGGTCAGTTTGCTTTCGTAACACCTATGAGTCCTTTTTTATTAACAATTGGATGACCATTTACACTAATCCTGTCACCTTCACCTCTCTCAGTGAATGTGATTTCTGACCCAGGTATATGACACAGACAAGTGCAGTCATTCAGTCTGAGCCGCGATTACTCCTTTCCCTTCCCTAACATAGAGGAAAAAAGAAGATTCGCATAATCTTACTACCAATCCTGCCTGATCACACAACAGGTCACGGTGCTCGCTCTTGACGGTCTCCAGGGGTCCCCAGTCGGCCTTAGACGAAAGTTCAAGTCAGGCCAGTCGTTTACGTGACGGGAGTTCTCGTCAACCGTTCCACTGTCAAATAACGAGCACAATCACCTGATAGAAAAAATAGTCAGCCTAGATCAGGGCTCAGCGCGAGGCATTTCGAAGAGGTTAAGTGGCGTGAGTATAATGAATGCAATGTTGCGGAGAAATAGCAGCCATTCAGGAGCACAACTGTGTTCGTATACTCTGAGCCAGATGTGCGTTCGTTCACTTTTGGCAATCCTATGTGACGATGAATTGAAGTTAGTTGCCAAAAGGAAAAAGTAGACTTTCCAGTACTTCAATTTTATTTGATTCCCGGATAAACAAGCAACGACAGTTTGATCGGAAAACCAGTTATGCACCTAAGAGACACCTTGCTAACAATTAAGCGCGGGCGTATAAAACACCAGATGATTGGTGGTGCGTGCTGATATCATGCGCATTAACGTTGACGGTTTGATCGACAAACAACAACTGAAACTCTGATGAACACATAGGTACGAACTAGTGCTGACGTTCCGATAGCCGGACAGCAGATTCAAGATTTCGGAGCGCAAGCTCAACGGACAGAATGTGACCCACTGGGACAACTTCTCAGTTTTCAAGTGACCTTTAAAACGGCCACAGATTGCAGCTGTTCATGAACATAACTCTCAAACAGACGATAAAAACCACATGAGATGAATACCGACTCTCATAATGGATGAATATGTGCAGAACAATAACAAAAGCATACTATAAGGACAGATGAATAATCGTCGACCGATGTTATTGCAATTTGTCGGTCAGCGGAGGCACCGCATTGATAACGGGGATCACTACACACTACAACGATGAAAATATATTTACGCAAAGAATAGTCTAAGAGAAACCAGACTGAACAGATGATCCTAGTTACCGGTCATCCAGCTACGGAGAAGCGAGACCGTATGACGAGGTCTGAACAGTCAACAAATCAAACAGATAAAAACACTTTCGTTATCTATACAGGATGTAGAAAATTCAGACACAAGTGCATGAGTGTCAATGAGCTATTATATCTAACATTAACACTTGCATCAGTCATGATGAGAGAAAACCACATACACAGATATCTTTCCACACAACGTTCCCTTCTTCTCTTTTCCTTTTTCTTTTTAATTTTACTTCCTTTTTATTCAATACACAACGATAAAATTTTCAGGAAGGGAGAAGCGGCCAATCAAAGGGCTGCCATAGGGAAAGTCAGGAGGTGGTGGTGGGGTTCGAACACACATCCCCCGAAGTGATAAATTGGTGGAGTTACCACCGGGCCACCAAACCTTCTTCAAGCCGACTGACAAGTGAACACGAGGTAGGATAACCGTTGTTAAAATCTGTGATTCATTTTGAGGTGTAAATGTCTAAGATAGAGAATACGTAGAATACGACGGTGGGAAATCGACGACTTACCTTTTGAGTCAACAAGCCTAAAAGAATGTGTCTGATTACAATTACCTTTCTGAGTGGCTTTCGTAAGTACGACTGTTTTGTTCGCCGAGGGAACTTAGTAGTTACTACCGTCGCCAGTTGAATAGATAGCCTTGTTGTTTGCGCAGAATCTGAGAGGTTTCTGAGTGAGTTTTAGTTAATACTTCTTTCCTTCCTTTGTGTTTCCCAACAAAAGGAATGAGGAAAAGTATCTCCCGTCAACCAGCACTCATATTCTACTACAAATTCGATCATTTATTCTTAACACTTTACTCGTATGCGTGTGTATATGTAAAGTTAAAACTTGAACGTACAAGCGAAGGCAGAGGTGATTACAAACAAGCGCAGCTGTTCACGCGGAAGATAGCTTTGCACTCTAACACCGAAAGTCATTTTATTCTGGTTGTAAAACACAGGTTTAAGATCGATTGATAACCCAGTCTTTGTTCATCAGTGGAAATCCTGGTTTTGTCAATCGATCTGACGGAGTTCCATTATCGGTCCAGCGACTAGATGAAACTCACACACATACCATACATTTTTAACATCACCTGAGGGCTCTCTCATCTCCCGTCACATGCGATGTGATTTCTTGATCTCTTTTGAAGTCGCGTTCAATAACAACGTAATGTGGTATCATATTCATTACCAGGCACATACACAGTCTTTCCACGTTTACCTTCAGTGTCCTGGTAGCTACTCTCCCTTACAGATATTATTCAGCTGCAAACGACCGGCATACATACACGCATGCATGCATGCCTACATATATACAAACATACATACATGCATCCACGGGTAGAAAATCGTACACGCTGAATAAAACAAAACATAGAATTCACTATCGCTTGTCTAATTCGAGCCTTGAATTCATCAGTATAATAATAATTTATATCCAATCTAGTTTCATAGAGGACGAACTCACTGTCTTCGAAAACGAGACACAACACACACCACGGTCGAAATCACCCAAACCAAGTACGCGGAGGGTGCGCAAATCCACGGAGCTCCAGATACGCACATGAGGCTGAGGAATGGCAGTGGGATAAACGGAATCGGGAACAGGTGAGAAGATAAATCGAGAAAAACAATGACGTAAAGAACCAAACAAGACAAATTCGAGAAGTTCCGAAAATACGTCAAAATGGTCTTGCTAGTGAACTAGGACATAAGAAAAAGGATTGGCAAAAAGCCTATTCGCAGGATACAAGAGCCAATGTCATGTTTTCAGTCCTAATTTGCACTATCCTAGTGGAGTGCGAGATCGAACAGAAGCTTAAACAATTGACACTTATTTGGAACGACCAGCATGTATGGAGGAGCGGGGGAGTGTTGACCTTAGTGCGTTTGGTGTTTACAGAAGAAAAGTCTGCTTGCATGATTCAACCACTGGGTTGAATCGAGGACCACTAGTTAGCGCCTCACAGAAAGAATTACTTCAGAGACAGGGTTGAAAAGTGTGAGATACCTGGCACAATGATTTAGTATTTGCTGCCCTGTATCACGGGAACGGGGGTTAATGCTCATCCTATTGGCACTTGATGTATGCAACTGACTACACCAAGTCCCAGAACTTGAACAACCGATTTAATTACCTAAAAGGGGATCAGTCTCTATGCCAATAGCCTAACACCATTCACTATAATTGAATACGAGATATGAACTATCTTCACGGTTATTCAGTTGAAACAGATGGAATTCATGCCATGGAGTGAAACTCACCCAAGACCATCAAGAGTGCCTGGTGCCTCTTAACAACCAAATTTTGGTCTGTGTGATTTTTGCATTCGATAGACGGGAAAGAGTTAAAATTTATTTATCAGTCCCACGGGACAATAGTTATCAGAAACAAAAGAAAGTTGTGGAAAATAACACCCCAATCAATATTCGATTAAATCCTTAAACAAATGAGGATGTATATGAATCCAGCGTTTTCGTTAGTAGAACTCGGGGCATTATCCATCACGCTATCGAAAATCCAAATGCCAGCGAAGTTGACGTTAGTTAAGATGGTTTAGGCTAAAGTGATCCGATCAAGCAAGTGGGTTACAAGGGCGAACCGCCTAGTTCATATCACACAGCTTTGGATCTAACGCGTTTGAGATGAATATGATACTATCTCCAGTGAAATATAGTGGATACCGATTGCAAAGTGAATCCACATGGAACGGAATGCGGTGCAAAGAATAGCCCCTCATTATCCTCCCTTACTCGGTAGTTGATCACGGAGAAGATTCCGGTTTGCTTGATGATCAATGCATCGGCTATTGCCATCACCATGTCGGTGGACATGTGCACACAAAGTCGATATCTCGGAAACACCATCTAGTCAAAAACCCAGTGTGTTGTTCTTTTGCCAAACGAATAAACTCAAACAAGCACGAACAGTATTCATTCTGAGGTAAAAAATGTTGAAGATCCGAATTCCGTCCAATATAACGGATAATTATGGATGCTATAAGGTATAGTGATGGATCTTAAGGATAAACGACATCAGAATCAATAGAATCCCGACGTGCAGCGCACTACTGAATTTCGGAATGACGAACGTAGTGTACTTACCAGCTAGGGGGGTCCTATTTTTTTCACAGTCCAGTCACTCCATGCCTTCAAAATTTACATGGAATCTAAGCAATGATTCACATGTAAACATCTCACAAACAGGAGAACTAGCAGTAAACAGGACTACAGTGACTAGTATTTGTGGATTGGTTTCATTGCGTAGGACATGATAGCGGTGCACTCACTTTGCCTTGATCCTTGTGATGTCCAGCCACTTGACCCGTAGCAACTGTGATCCGGTCCGGATGAATAGCAATGCTACGAACACAAGGAGGGGGCGGGGCAGGGGGACAAACAGGTGAACGAAAAACCGGGAGTAACGCAGATAGGGGAACGAACGGGAACACTCTTCGATACTTCAGGTAACTCTACCGCAAAACAAACACGAGCTGTTTATTCATTCACAATGATGATTAGAGAAAAATAATGATCCCTAGATCAGGCATGAACAATAACCTAGGTGCTTATTGAGATGGATTTCAATGAAGAAAAAGTCGACCAACAATGAAAAGTCAGAACAATATGAAATTAGCTCAACCAGATTGTGAATCGGGAACGCGATTCGTTTTTCACAGATTGATCACAACATTTCGTGGTGCAAACAGAACTCCTCCGAATTAGAATACATCATCAGGTTTTACAACAAGTGATTTTGACACCCGGTCATGAAGCCACAGTCTTAATTTTGTATGTGCGCAGGAAGAGTCGAAGGAAGCTTATTTACTTGTTACCTATTAATTCAGTACTAATTGCAATATATATTCACAACGTATGGATAGAGAAACAAACACGTCAATATGACTTGATTTGGACAGCACTTTTCCGCCGTTCCAACCCCGATAAGGTGGAGATAGAAAACACTGACGTAACCGAAACAGTCATTTTCATTCGTACTTCGTGAGACTCAAATGAATTCTATGATTCCTAGTGATAGATTATGGGAAACGTGTTCATCTCAATGCGTTTACGAGACCAGCGTGCGTACTATGTACCAAGCGGCAAATGATGCAATCCTATTTCCAAATGAGCAATCATTTCCCATTTGACTTTCACAACANTCACAACATCTTTCTTCGTTTCCTTCATTGCAAGATTTCTACGGATTATCTGACAGTTTGGAACCAGCCTCGATTTTCATATCCACGAGAGTCCGTGTGGGTGATTGTGTGCCTGTGCGCAATAGGGAGGGATTCATTTACATAAACTCGTCATCCAAGTCGGTATCAACCACGCGCCAAACACACACACACACGCACTCATTTATTAACATGAAAAATCGCATATAGGAGGAGGAGGAGCATGAAAGCGAGGGAGTACAAATGGCACTTCAAAAATGTGTATATGTAAAACTCGGTCTACACTCAGACGGAAGATGACTCATCACTAAATCCAAGTGATAAACGGATCCGGTGTCGGAATGGCGATCGCAAGTAGATTGCTAATCACGTACCAACGAGGTTACACAAAAGATAGCAGAGAACTCACTTCCTTCATTTGCGGTTGAGCAGGTGTAGACACGCCAAATGAAAACGGATCGCCCAATAGATTTCATGTTCTGTGACTTTTCTATATTTGAGTCAAGTCAAAATGAACTGCCTCCAAAAGCCTCAGTATGAACAGGGTGTGTATCTCTAATTGCGGCTGGTCATCCTTCCGAAGCACCTCACAAAATGCTCCTATACGACCAAGCGTTTCGAACAACACCTGTTAGGAAAGACCTACTTATTGTCTTCTCGTGGCGGAGGTGTTTTCCCACCAAAGTCAAAGGACGAAAAGCCGACATCCGGGCTATAATCGGGTTGGTGGACCACCGGTAGTTGACCTAGGGGAGTTGGCTGAGAACACTGATTCTAAACTAACCAAGAAGAAGCGTACGAACCACACCTGGTCGTGGTAATGGTCACCGGCTCGATTGGGTATTGACGTGTGTTGGGTACCTTGGACGTTTGGTCCCGTCCAAAGAGCGTATGATCTGACGAACTGAACACCGGCGCCCAGTGGATTGCGGTTTTCGTACACCACTTCGCTGCCTTGTGAGTCAGCCTTTGCCTAGCCAAAGGCTTTGGCTGTGAATTCCTCCCAAAAGCTTCACCTGCTTTGGTCTGGGAAACCTAGCAGTATTCCGCCCATAAAGAAATCATGGAACTTTCTCTTTTTATCAAGATTATTTTACTGTGATTTGTTTGGCACACAGCATGGATTCAGACGTGTGAAATACGCATGGTTAACTTAACGATATTCCTCATATCAGTCAGTCTTATTTGTGTGTTTATGTTCTATCAAAGATCCGTCACAGCGGGGTCTACTTCGAGCGCCCTACAGTGTGTCCGGTCGATATTTACTCACTGTGCGGCGACTCCCGTCCCACGGATTCTATACATATTCTACTTTATCTTCTCCGGGGGTTGGGGAGGGTTGAATGTCGGTAATTCACATTAGTGCAAAGTTGTTTTCATTGTAATTGACCGAAACTCCTTGTTCGGGATCGAACAGATACCCACTACCACCACCACCAGTATTTGTATCAAAGAACCACCATGCGTACGGAGTAGAACAGAGAACTGCGCCGGTTAACCCATCAGCTCTTACTACTTTTCACAATTCGAACATAACACTTTTATCTGCCAAACAACAATTTGGGCACTAAAACTTCATCTAAGGATTCATTCGGCGGACTCCGGTGAATTCGACAGAAAGCCTGTGGTGGCAGCCAGCTGACGTGCTACCTGGTGGATGCCGTATGCCTGTGTAAGTTGGATGGGTGATTCGAATGTGAAAAAAACACTACCGGCGTGGATTCGTGGCTGAGCTGGTAGAGCGTGCGTGGTACAAAGGCGTAGGCGACATTTATATGTGGGTTCAAATCGCACCGAGGATACTAAACTCTTCACAGTTTCGACACAATCCATAAGCACCTGATTTGTGTCAGATTAACGGTGAAAAAAGACAACTGATGCACGAAAAGGATTGATTAGACAAATCACATCTGATGAATGTGTACTTTCAGAATAACGACAGCGTGAGCACGGCTAAACTGCAAATGGAGGAACTAGCAGCGAGAACGAATAAATGGTGATACAGAGTGATGCTGGACTATCGGCGAAATGATTTGTATTGCAGAATTCATATATACGATTCGAAATTAATGCACATGATCGTAGACCTATGGAAAACCCGCGGAAAGAAAACCTAAAAACCCAATGTTGTCTGGCGTATGAGATTAAAAAACGATATAATTTTCCGGTATTAGAACTGCTCGCGAAAAAAAACGATATGCAACTATCGACGGGAAAACAAGATAAAATGAGAAGACACGAACATAAGTATCGCACTAAGCTAGTTGCAATGATGTACAACATCGTCTGTGTGCTCATTGGACGAGGTGATTGCCAATCGATGCATGAATCAATCGAGAGAGTGAACCTGCGGCACTGGATTGATCTCTGTCCTAATTTTGTTGCTTGTTGTATTGAAATGAAGCATCATGCAAGAGCGATTCAAGTCCGCATTTAGATAATCGATGAATAGGTAATAAAACATCAATTATTTTCTAGGTTTAAACCCTAATTGATACAAATTAGATTATCTGCCATAAATATTTCGCACGAAAAGGAGCAGTGTGGAGATAAATAGGTTAAAGTTAGTAATAAATGAGGGAAATCATTGAAACAAATATCTAGGATTTGTCATCAGTGTTTCAAAAGTAGAGGGTCTTCGAGGAAGGGTGATTCAAGAATTAGATTGATAATGCGTTAGTTATCAGGACGCATTCGATCGTTCTTATCATCAAACTGGAAGAAACAGTCCCCTGGTTATGAGTATACTAGCCGTTCGAGGTGCTAAATAAAATTGTGTCACATAAATCGACGCGTTTGGACAATCATCATTACGTGCCTTATAAGTGAAATCCGAAGCCGCCCTCAAACCTGGCTTCCGACCACTGATCGCTACAGGCAGCATTCTGCTAGAAGAGCTCAATTTGGGCATAGCGGTTGGATCAACAGAGCAACAGGAAGTACCTAACACGGACTCCAGAAATGGGCACACGGGTTACCCAGTTCTACTTTGCTATTCCATAATCCTAGGAACAGCAGGTACGTGATAGGCCGGAGAGCGCTAAGCGAGTACAAGATCAGAATGACACAAACACAGTGTATGAAATATGTATATGGTTAAAAGTAATTCAGCCGGGAAGGTAATACGATTACGAGACAAATGCAGTAGGTCTAATACCATACTGCCACACTCCAACCCACGTTTTTTACCGGCTAACACGCAAGAAGTAAACAAGAAGCACTTCACGACGGGTAATGGTACATGAACAACCAACCGATCAGCCGGACACAAGCCTAGGTAGAGTTGCGTTGGCGGATCAACCGATCGATTAATTCATTGATCGGACAACCGCCTTGGATCTTTCCACCAGCTAGGTGGAAACAATGGTCTGTGAAATCACCGGCACAACTAGGTCTGACACCCGGATAAACTGAGAGGAACGCGAGGGAAAATACCCCAAAAAAACGATTGTCGCTTGGACCGAGATTGATTGGTGCGGGAATGCCTGTGTGTCCACAGTAGGTGTGTACAAGAGAGAAGGAAACAGACTATACATTATTCAGATCAATATCCAGGGATCTTTGCACGGAATGCGCATGTGTCGAGGGCTTAAGGGGAGGGGAGAGGGGTGAAAGGGAAAAGGCGAAGGACAGTTATTAGGGCGTTCAATGAGTAGGAGTAGATCACACTTAGATTATATATTGGAAGAAAGGGATAAAACAAGCAGTCTAAGGGATAGGAAATACACTGGTTGCTGACAGCAGTGTGTGGGTTATTGAAGTGAGAATGGGTTGAGGGGAGTGGGGCGGTAGTGACCATCAAAACAAGAACGAGGGCATATCACGTGTGTGTGTGTGTGTGCGCGCGCGCGCGCTCGCAAACAGATGAGGATCAAGTGTGCTTTTGGTGAACACACCAAGACGAAATCCGTGATCAGTACAGTTTTAGTTGGTTAATCAATTTGGGGCAGAATGCACACCAGAAAGGAACGATTTGTAGTTGAGCCTATTCTCACCATTATTCTTCGTTCTCTGTCTTGTGCACAGGAACAAAGCGCGCAATGAGTAGTAGTACGGAGCAATTCAATCGCAAAAATGTGAGGTAATTTCATTAGTGTACGGAACCCTATTGATATGCAATAGGTCAGGTGCAGTAACCATAGAACAGACGATAAACTACACACAATGCTGCGGTGCTCATCA